TACATCAATCGAAGGGGAATCAGAGGATTAAAAATCATTTAGAGCATCAAACTGAAGCCGTTCCGAAGACCGAGAAGGAATCACTTAGCCAATCTTATACCATTTAGACTTCGACTTAAACAGTGAATTATATCAGCGTACTCAACCGCAATTGTTTTATAAACACTTCTTCTGCAACATAATATTTTGGTAAACCTCTGGAACTCGCATGCCCTTGTACAGTGGTAAAAGTCTTAAAATATAACAGAAACACGTCGCATGGGTAGTTCAACATGGCAAAAAATAATTTATAAATAATGATGAGAATATCTGGCCTTTGGAACTAGTTAGTCTATCAACAGAAAGTGCACGGATTGTGATCACCTCACCGATTTAGTATGACATACCAATTTAAGCCTTTCGCGGAGCTCACGCACTTCTTTATCGTCTTTCTTTGGTATTTCCTGGGACCTGTCGTTAACTCGCTTGGAAAAAGTACACATCTTTAGTTTCTCCTTTAGGACATTAAGTTCATTTATGATCATTCCAAATGACTCTGTAATCTGTTCAGCGCATTTGGGCATGATATCCTGAGATTTGCCGCCGTCCGCTTTCTCAGATGTACTCGTCTCCTGTAAAGAATCTCATGCAACCCAGACGGTCATTAAAGCAGCAATACCTTTTGTCTTGTAGAATTTTCAATCCGTTGACCTAAATGGTCCATTTCATAACCAACCCTGCGTTGAATTTCTTGAACTGAATCCAAAATATCTTGCACCTGAAAATAATTGTTTAAAACTTCGTCAGCAATCATTCCTCATTTTTTTGTTGATAATTTACTTCAGGACTATCTTCAAAAGTATTGTCTTTTGGGGAAGACATATTCGGTGACCTGGTACCTTCAAAAGGGGACAGCGATTTTCGGTATTCAGTTAGTTGTTCTTCTAATTCACGACATTTTGTGCGTTCGGTCTTCAGCTCGTATGATAGAACCACTATAAGGAAAACATAAGCGCAATAATGATGGCAGTTTAAACAGAGTCAGTCATCAAAAATATCAAAATTCGGTGAGTCTTCATCACAACTGTAGCAAATTAGAAATCAAAAGCCAAAATCTGTTAAATTTCCATGTTTGCTATACTGAAAAAATATCAAACTCCGATCTACTGATTAGAACACGATAGTTTGCTTTACCCAAGAATAAAATGCTACCATCTTTATTGTACTCATAAAGACAGTGTAAACGTTGTTTGTTCAGACACGAACTATAACCAGTATGTATCAATAGTGAAACAGGGCTGAAAGTTTATGCCATTATGATAACTGTTCACGTGCAGGATAAATTATAGTATCGATATGTTATAATAAGGGCAAGAACCAAACCGCATGTCGATTTGAAATTTGTAAGGATGGCTTTTACATTCGAGCCCCTCCCTTGCACTATCAATACGTAATGAGGGTTAAGTGACAATGCTCCTAAAGAATGATTCCATTCTCTTTCAAGCATATACGTCCTCAATAAATGCAGACATTAAGAGAAGGAAGTTGACCTTCCTAGTCAAACTGTTCAGGAACAACGCCGTTAGTTGAACAGGCGAGCTTACCGGGTGAACGTTAAAATATTGTGGACGCTATCCAGAAGGCAAACATGCAACCTGAATGAACAAGATCGAGGCATATCTGCTCTTGGAGAAGAACTGTTCCTTACACTAAGCAGTAACTGGTTCCATGTAGCAAAAGTGTTTAAAAGCTGCGAATACAGCGAAAATTACAAACCAGAGACGTTCAGCTCATAGAAACGATTCAAGGTGATCATTACAAGAAACGTAACAAAGACAGTATTACTTTCATGCCTGTTTTTGGCGAAATGACAGAGTACCTACACAGAAAAGATTGGAATAAAAATATTGCTTTTGGCACAAAAATGTAACAATATGAAAAGATTAGTTCGATCGCTGATTTTTTTGGTTATTGTGCGTTGTCTAATCTTTATTATCGTTAAAGAAAATTTTCTTTGAGTGGTTGGTCTTACAACTTATTGCCTAACTTGCGGAGCTCTGTCAGAGCACTATTGCATTGAAGTCGTTTTGGTGATAGTGACGCTGAAACAGAAGAAATCATCCGTCTTAAATCATGCCACAAAGGATGGATGTATGTCAGATTTGCTGGTATTGTTAAAAATGAATTCGCCATATTGTGGCAACGGCAGGTTTGTTCTTTATTCTGTTAGCAATAACAGCAGAGAAAACAGCTGTAATCATGCGCATCACCAAAAGCTATCGATGAATCACGAACTCTCAGAACATTATGCCTGTAAATGATCTGTGCTGTCAACGATATTAAGGTCAAAATTCAGCGGCTTGTCAAACTCTTTATCCTTGGTACATTTACATACAATTTGTTTTTAATCACGTCACAAGTTACCTTCAGACTTTGTAAAAGTGATTTAATTTTCGAGAAACTAATAAAAATCAAGGCAGCAGAATCCAAAACAAATAGAAGCTGACGACCGTTTCGTCAAAACATTTTGTTGTTGCTTGTGGTCAGCAACTGAGGTATCAGGGTCAAAGATGATGTCTCACGCTTTTGACTTCTCAAAATGATTTAGGCGCTGTTGTTTGCTGCGGCTATGATCAAATTCCTTGTCACAAGTAATTACGCTTCCAGCATATGCTCTATGAGGCGGTGCTGGTATTCCACAGATCTGAGGTCATTCTATGTTCCTTAGAGGAGAATGGTGTTGAATAGGTTTCGTTTTCCCTAGGTAATTCTGTGAAACCACGAAAACGACAGCTCGGGATTTCGTCCGAGGGCATTCTGCGGTCAATCGTCTCCAAGTGTTTTTCACTCTTCATTCGATGGAACTATTGCACTTTAAAAATGTTCCGCATACAGAGTTACTAAAAGCTTGAAACATGCGACGATTCCAGAGTATGGATGTTTCGAGGCTGAACATCAGAACCGAGACGAAGGCGGCTTTCAGTATGGCGATCTTGGCTGCTGTCCAGGTCGATCGATTTTGCCATGCTTCAGAAAGAAGCCCAAAGTTTTTTTATGCAAGCCAAGAATGCCGCTCTACTTTCATGTAGCAGCATCCATCTTTTGCCAGTAGAGAGGCCAAATATTTGCATTCATCACCTCATCGATAGTCGTTCCGCTTCATTCAATCGTGTTACTCGCGTCAAGTGCTCACAGGATCTTCAATTTGATGGATTGACCTCTAGGCCTACTGCAGAGGACACCTAGCACATATCTTTAGTTAGTATCAGTAAGCCGTTGGTGGAGTTCATCCGCAGAACGATGCCATCAGCGTACTCGAGACCTATTGGTAGTACGGCTGGATGTCTTCGGCTGAGTTCTCGCTTGAAAGGATATTACCATTGTTGGGAACGCCGTTCTTTTGCATCACATAATCACCACTATGTTGAATAAGGGAGGCGAAAGCGTCTCTCCTTAGCGCCATCTGCTGTTGACGTTAAACCAGCCTGACTCTTTGACTGGGTTGGTGCCCTCAGTACCTTTATGCAGTCCCTCTAGCAAACCAATGATCTTCTCACGTAGTGACGTAGTATGCACCACATGGACAGATGGTGTGCCGAGAGGTCGGTCGATCGCATGCCAGAGCATTTGGAAGTTCCTATCCTGTTCAATAATCCATACACGATAGCCCATTTCGAAACGCAGTTTTATTTCTTTATGGCTAATCGTCAACAACGTTGTTCAGTCATCAGAGGAGAGCTCAAGCAAATACCTTTTCCGACTGGGAAAAGCGCGATCCCAGTGTAGTTACTGCAATCATAGCGATTTCCACGTCTGAATATGGGAATGATGACTCCCAGCTGCCAGTTTTCGTGGAGTTCTGACCTTCGCCATATACTTTCAAAAACGAGATGAATCCAGTTCAGTACAGTTGCGTCTGGGCAGTTCTGGATTTCAGCACTTATGCAGTCGTGCCAACAGAATTTCAAACTTCGGCAGAGACGCATGCCATTGCAGATTTCATCTTCGATGGAGCGAAGCAGTCCATCTGCGGTTCTTCGCCTACCTATGACATCTATTTTCAGGCCTCTGCGGTAACGCCTGTTGATTGCTTGACGAAATGATGACACGATCGCATTTTCGTATCTTCGCGGTTCCGTAATAACTCATACAAAGCCGCGTTTCTCCTTTGGTGAAAAATGATGGCTTCTGCCGAGACCCACGGAAACCTCATACCTTTGCTGAGGTGAAGTGTATTAGATACGGCAGAGACGATACATTGTTTAAGCTGTTGGTACAGCAGCCCGAGGTTCTGGCAAATCATGTTCTTGACAACAGTGAATATGGTGGTGATCTCTTCTTGGAACGCCACAAAAGTTTCTGAATCTCTTAACATGTTGGTGTCGAAGTGTGGACGTTCTCTCCTTTTCGCGCGATTCTCAGGGATGTTAACAGTTTGCGGCGAAGCCCCTCGCGACCACCACGAAGTGGTCCGAACCAGT